CGAGCGCACCGCTGCCAGGCCCTGGGGGGCCTGCCGAGTGGGCGCCGTGGCCTCCCCCGCGCTGATCGGCCGCTCTGGGCTGGGGGCCTTCGCAGGCTGCCGGTATCGACATGCTGCTGGAGGAGGTGGATGCCGGCGACCGGCTGAGCGGGGCCGCGGCCCGGGGCGACGTGCAGGAGGTGCGCCGCCTTCTGCACCGCCAGCTGATGCACCCCGACGCCCTGAACCGCTTCGGCAAGACGGCGCTGCAGGTGAGGCCGGGGCCCGCGGGGGCGAGCCCCAGTGCCCAGTCTCGCATCTGCTGGCTCTGGCGGGCACCTAACGAGGAGCGTGTCTTCCAGTGTGCCCCTTTCGTGGGTGGGTAGGGTCGGTTGCCGGGGCGGGGGGAGATCTCCCCATCTTCTGCAGAACTCTTGGTTCTCAAGGCGTTTCGTTTCCCCAGGAGGTCCTTCCGTGGGTGGGGCCTCAGCTTCGGTGGATCGCAGTTTGTGGGAGCCAGCTCCGGTTCTTTGGGGCTCCCTGGTTTATCTCTAGAAGGAACGTTTCCCATTTCCAGAACACCCCCATTTTCTGTGGGGGTGGGGTGGACGGTTCCCCCGAGAGAATAGGGTTATTTGGATATCTCCATCGCTAGGGAATTCTCTGGTTACTTAGGGGGCGGTAATCCCCCTCCTGGAGGGTGGGTTGTAAATTCTCCCAATTTGAGAATACCCCAATTTAACGGGAGGACCCTTGATGGGAGGCATCCCATGTTTTGAGGTACTGGAGAGCATCCCCGCTACACACAGGCAACAATAACTACGGAGAAGGTGCGTGACATTTCTTAGAATCCCTTCTTCGATTCATGGCCCTTTCAAGTCCCTTGGGGACTATTTCTGGAAGAGGTGTCAGATTTCCAGGTAGTATCCTATTGCTCGGTGGGATACGCATAGTGGCAGGGGTCCCTGGTTCCTTGGAAAGAGACTTCCGTGTTAGTTCCTTGAAAGGCGCCCCAGGGCCTGCTCCCTGGAAGGTTCTCTTTTTAGGGTGGTGCTGAGCTTCTTGGGGTCCCATTTCCCAGGAGACCTTGTTCTCTGGGGTCTCAAGAAACTCCCTGGAGGCTGCATTCCTTGGGGGTTTTCCTATCCCCTAGAAGAGTCCTTTGGATCAGGATTCCTCCTTCCTCCGGGGCTTTTCCTTGGGGGAGGCCCTCACCCTCTGTCCCCCTGCACAGGTCATGATGTTTGGCAGCCCCGCTGTGGCCCTGGAACTGCTGAAGCAAGGTGCCTGCCCCAACGTCCAGGACCGGTCAGGCACCACCCCAGCCCACGATGCCGCCCGCACTGGATTCCTGGACACCCTGAAGGTCTTGGTGGAGCACGGCGCCGATGTCAACGCCCCTGATGGCACAGGGGCGTTGCCCATCCATCTGGCTGTGCAGGAGGGCCATGCCCCCGTGGTCAGCTTCCTGGCAGCAGAGTCTGATCTTCATCATCAGGATGCTTGGGGGCGCACGCCTCTGGAGGTGGCGCGGCAGTGTGGGGCTCAGAACCTCATGGACATCTTGCAGGGGC